CCTTTTCTCGGCCTGGGACCTGTTCATATACGTTCTTGGCAGATGATCCAGAAGTGGTTTGCCATTGCCTTCTTCTGTGTGTGAATGGAGTAATTGTTGGGATGCCACGGAGGAAAAATCCGTGTTGCCTAGACCACGGCCTTGCCCAACACAAGTTATAAATTCGGGCACCGCCGGGAATCGAACCTGAGACCCCAGGATTGTAGTTTACCGACGTTTCAGAGGTGCGTCCTGCTTGCACCATCAGGGCAACGCGGGCGGATAAACTGTCCTGCGACATCGCAGCATAACAAATGTTTGTTGTATTTGTACAGATGGATATATTTCATGAAATATTAAAGTACAATTTGTTTTCCAGGTGACGCTGTAAGAGTCAGGTGGAAATCACTTCGAGATGGTTTCAGGAAAGAGCTTAAGAAAGTGTCGAAGGAAATGTCTGGCGATGTTAGTCTTGCTTCTTCCGAGTATTCAACCTGGCCTCACTTCAAACGTCTGTATTTTTTGAAAGACCAGTTCACTTCCCGTCCGAGTAGTGGGGATCTACCGTCTAAGCAAAACAGAATTCTAAGAGATGATCAGACAGAAACAAGAGACGAAGACATGGATAATTCACAGTTCAGTGAACTGGATGGTACGTCTATTGATATCTTAGATATTAAAGTTGAGTCTTTTGATTCACTGTATTCAGACGAACAGCAAACTTCAAACACCGAATGTTGTACGACAAAACATGGCACCAAACGTCCACATCAGGAAGATACTGACAGCCCTTCTATGGAGACGGAGAGACGGAATCTCAGGGCAAAAGAAGACGAACACAATTCAGCGAAAGATGAAGACGCCAGTTTCTTTGAAAGTGTGCTTCCACACATAAAGGGACTTCCACCCGCGAGAAAAATGCTTCTTCGTATGAAAATTCAAGAATTAATTTATAATTTTGTATATAAGCAGGAACTTTAAATTAAGCAACAGGCGAACTTTCCGGATAAACAAAATGGCACAATTCATAACGATAATGCCAACACATTCCATTGCTCAAATGAGCAGCTGTGGCTAGTACTAATTTGGTTTCGTCACTTATATATATATTGTATGTATTTTCATGAAAAATAAAATAAAACTTTCTTTCGCGCTTTGAACATTAATCTGCTTAAGCAGATTTCAACAAATACTAATTTCCTATTATTTCTGTTACTGTGATTAAAGTAAAGTAAAGTTTGTCCCACTATGCGCCATGTAGGCGCTTGGGGGGAGTGGAGGTATAGCTCCTCTCTTCCTTGACCTCGGCACTAGATGGGGGTGAGTGGTCAGCATCACGCCCCGGCCGGCTTTACCCCCGGGAAAGGACCCCGGTACCCATTGTAGAAGAGGCTGGGTGGGCCCCAGAGCCGGTCTGGACGCAGAGGCTAGAGGAAAAATCCTCTGCCCCCGTCGGGGATCGAACCCCGGTCGTCCAGCCCGTAGCTAGTCACTATACTGACTCAGCTATCCCGTGATTAAAAAATATATTTATTTTTTATACTCCCATGTGCAGAGACAATACGTAAGTTCTCCATTTCACAAGCATCCGTACGCCAAGAAATTCTCATAAGCATCCCAAGAAGTCTCCTTGAGCCTCCTCATAATTCTTGTATTTCGTTAAATATTTACCACATTTAAAGCATTTTTACTAAAGTAGTGTACATTGTAAAGAGGTTCTAATGCGATATTTATCCTTCGGTACAATTTTTATGACTCAATGCAGTGTAATATCTGCACCTCTGATTAGTCAAGCAATACATGGACAAGAATTCATTTCGACCTAGTCAAATTCGAATATGACTTTACAATTATTTGTAATCACGTCAGAAACTGGCCGCGGTACAGCTTGGATATCCTACCTGAAGATCGGTCCTGAACTGACTTAACACCCGTTCAGACGGGGTTCTCTCTCTGCACGGAACACGCATTCTATGGATGGCCGAAACGAAAAACAAGAGACACTCGAAATTAATCTATTATCTGAATTTACGAATCGCCGAACAAAACTCAATAAAGTCTATGAACGAAACTCTCTTTTTAAGGCGTCAGATTACTTAAAACTGGAAGATGCTTGTCTTCTGGGTTGTTCCCCTGTATAGCTGGTAGTAAAGGTTCAGTGACGTTTCAGAGGTATTTGTAGGTACCAAACTACACCGATCAACAACCCAGAAGAGAGTCATTTGCAATATGATTTTTTTTGTTAAACATTTTTCGTGTGTTAAAAATTACAAAAAGAATGTGACGGCGCGAGACTTTATGAATTCATCTATTAAATGTAACGCAGTCTTAACCCGTTCTAGTGGGAATAACGCAATATATATAAAACATTAAACTGCACAATTATTAAATTTTAAACACACTGAAAAGTCTGAAAGAAAGTTGATGTCATCATTTCTTCTAGTAATGTCTTGGGCCTGTATTATATGCACAAATTAGGTACAGATTCACCAGGTTGTCGGCCACAGATCATTCGTATTACATTGCACACCCCTGCTGTCCAGAAACTGCGCCCTGAACAACACTGAACCGAGTAATCACGTCTGGCTGGTGGATGTCGGCGTACTTCAAAATGCTAAAACTAAGATATGCGATAGATGTACCTCGATAGTGTTTCTAAGAAATACATTCACCTGTCGATCATAAGTCAACAAACCCTGCTTGTCCCTTGGAATGCACAACGTGTTTGAATTGCATCTTGTTAGATGGGCAACACCGGGTATCTGACATAGGAGAACGAGCTATCTACAGCTCACTAGATGACCAAATCATTGCCTGATTAAATATGACGGACATTCAAAAATTAAGGACAATATTGGAAAAAAAATTCTTTGTGTGATTAGAAACACTCCTGAGTCCTGGTCTAGAGTAGTGGTATTCAACCTTTTTTGTTCGCGTACCCCCAGATATAATTTCTCTTCAACTTTGTACCCTCAAAGTTGTTGGTGTATAATTCAAGTTATACGAGGTGCGATCGGAAAGTTTCAAGACTGCGCCTATAAAAAAAAAAAACCCGTACACTTATCTCAGGTATTAAATTCATCCATCACCCTCGAAGTAGTTCCCCTGGGAGTGAACACAACGATCCCAGCGCCGCTGCCAAGCCTGGAAGCATCACTGGAAATCTTTCTTTGTCAGCCTGCCAAGCACCATCTGCGATTCTGCATTCATCCATCACCCTCGAAGTAGTTCCCCTGGGAGTGAACACAACGATCCCAGCGCCGCTGCCAAGCCTGGAAGCATCCCTGGAAATCTTTCTTTGTCAGCCTGTCAAGCACCATCTGCGATTCTGTCTGAATCTCTTCTATCGTCTCAAATCTCCTTCCCTTTAGCTGAATTTTCATCTTTGGGAAGAGGAAGAAGTCACACGGAGCTTAGAAAGGGATTTGGGGTCGGTTCTTGCAAGATCTTTGAGCTCCTGACAAACGAGAAGTCGATTCTGCTTCTGGTCCTCAGACAGGATGCGTCGCATGGGGGGTTCTTCCTTTAGAATCAGCTGACAGGTCCCATAGCCTATCCCAACAATGTCGCATTAGTCGTTGATGGTACGACGTCGATCTTCGTAACTTTTTCGGGCGTTGTGCTCGAAGATGGTCGTCCAGAACGCTCGTCATCATCGACAGAGGTTCGGCCGGCCCTTTTTAAAACGTGAATGCCACACAAAAGTTTGCGGACTCCCCAAATGTTTGCTTTAGCATTTCATAGGTTTCCGTAGCGGTTTTGGCGAGTCTTTGGCAAAATTTGATGCACACGCGCCATTCCGAAATCGCAGGAGGGTCGGTGTAATGCACTACCAAAACGCCCGTAACTAAGAAACAAATGCTAATTCGATGATGCCGGCTGGCACACTGATTCACTATGAATGTAGGCCGCACCCCCTAGCGGTAGAAGCTCGTACTACATCCGGTTCGCCCTCTATTGACACAGTCTGTAAACTTTCCGATCGCACCTCGTATATAGTATAAAATCTACATCTAAAATAAATTAAATGAATTACAGTACTGATTATTCAGTGTTTATCATGAAATAATGTATATGTTTTTAAATTTCATGTACCCCCGGGGGGCACGCGTACCCCAGGTTGAATTCACTGCTGTAGCTCAAGGTCAGACAGTGACATGCTGCGAGTGTGGTTCAGGTCTAGTCCATATGCACCGAGTGAGTGTGGTATAAATACAGTTGCTACGCCCGGGGCTTGCACCAAGGACGACCAACATCAATGTGCAGTCTTGCAGAAATTTACGAAGTAGTTACCCTACAGTTTCCAAGAATCTTTGCTTTGAGTAAGCTCCTTACTTTTTGTTCGTTTGGCTGCTTGCAGACATTTCGATCTGTGACAAAGAATTCTGCCCATGCCTGGCAACCAAATGACGGATTTCTCAAAGTGTTAGCCGGGATAAAACAGCTTACATGGAGTGGATCAATGATAAAATGACATTAGTAGCTTGTTAAAATGGCGATGTAGGACAGTGGTCAGTAGCGCATATTGAAAATGGTTGCAACTACTCCTGCTTAAAAGTTATCAATAACCGACAGCTGCCAGGGACAGTTGTTCTTCCTTTGTCTTCTTTCCTCTGTTCTTCTCTTTCATCTCCTTTCTTCCATACCTTCTCTTTCATTTGTATCTGCGTCCATTGTTTCTTCTTTGTTCTTACGTACTTATTTACTCTTTTGTTTATTGAATAAAAATTTTCTTGGATATTATCCATCGTCTAGTAAATATAAAACGTAAAACGACGTTTCGGAGATGGGACTCTATCTCCGTCTTCAGGTTCCTACACAGTTGGGCCCACTAGATAGAGCTAATCCCTATCTCCGGACCAATATAATTTAAAAAGGCATAAATTTCTACCTTCCTTTGTTGTTCCTTTATACATTATTCTTTATCCTCCTATCGGCGTCCTTCTTACCTCTACAGAGGGATGGAACGGCGTTTCTTTGGCAGACAAAAGAATTCAAGTGGCAACAGCTACGTGGAGGAGAGTGGGAAGACTGGTTTTCCTTCTGGTTCGTGCTTATAACCGAGTACTGAACCCAGACTGTTGTCTGGAGCTGGAGAACAGATATAGCTCGTGTGAGTCACTCAGGGAGGAGGGGCCTAGATCTCCTGAGTCCTGCTGATGGAAATAATCACCATCGTAAGTACAAGTGGGATGCAGACTCCATCCTGCAAGGAGCCAGTCAGCTTCGAGTAGTCGGTAAGAGTCGGCGGGACAGACGTCTTATTGTTTTCAGGTCACAACTAACGGAAGATAGAAGTGTCAAAACAGTGGAATGTCTGCGGGTATCTAAGAAACGTTCTGTTCATAGTTTAATCGCTTCTAATTCGTCTGTCGGATAATTATAGTGTAAGTTATATAGAGCGATGGTGTTTTCTTGACAGCTGGTTCTTTTCTCCTACCTGCCTGCTTCCCTACCGTTGAAAAAGGTAAGACAACCACGACCCAACCCAGCCGTTGCTCGAAGTCGTTTCTCTTTCTTTCTAGACCTTTGTGTGTGCATAGTTTGAATGTGTCTGTAGAAGGGAACGGTCGTGTTGTGTGTCGTCAGATTCATAGTTTGAATGTGTCTGTGCAAGCGAACGGTCGTGTTGTGTGTCGTCAGATTTTGCGCGTTCGTGTTATGGAGGAGAATGTTAAAAACTATTTTTATTGACGTAATATCTTAAAAGTATGTGTTTTAGATAATTTGTCGTACAAGTTCAGACAGTGGTGAATTTAAATCGTTCGAATACTGGTTGGTAATATTTTGTTGTAGGTGTTAACGGCGTAAAATAAGAGGGTAATTCAAGATTCGAACGGTGGACCTGCCAGACACAGCGTCTTCGTAGAATTATCATATTTTGACGATGAGGCTGAAACATCGAGACAAAAGTTGGTAAGGAACAAAATGTTTTATTTCATTTTGCGACATAATTAGGTTTACTGAATGAAGCTTCACAACATGTCGAAATAGCAGTCAGATATATTTTAGCCGTTTCGCCATCACCATTTGTGGTTTCTTTCTTCAGAGATTATTTTACATAGTTTTCTATGCCGTGTTCTGGGGGACAGGAGGAAACTTTTTGATAAACGAAGAGTTTTCGCATTATACGAGTTCTTTCTTGGACACATTTTATCGTATTATA